TTCAAATTTGAAAGCATCAACTGATAGCCAAGGTCATCAAAAGTCAAATATTGAAATTTCCTAAACCTGTTCCTTTTTTTGAATTATGAAGCAGAAATAACCTAACTTCTAAGACAAAGTGGCTCAACGGATGTGGTTATAGTATGCAAACTTTCATTCTAAAAAGTGTATTCTTTTCGAGTTATGCCCCTGACCAAAAATGTCAATAATGTGTAATTTAATCCGGATGTGCCACGCCTACCTCATTTTTGGTACAAGTTAATTTTAATTTTGCTTTAAAACAAAATGTAACATATCACTGGAAAAAGCATGGCAACCAAATTAAGAATCCGAAAAAGTAAACCTCTACGTTAATTAGGTCACGTGGTACAACAGTCTAAAGTTGCGAATTTGGCTGTTTTCGGACAGCTATAAAACCGGAAGTACAAGTCGGAGGTCCAATGTCAAAGTATCAACTGATAGCCAATGTCAATAACCTTTGACCTTAGAAAGGTCAAGGTCACGAGATAAACTTAATAAAATCTTCAACCGGAAGAAACAAAAGCGAAATTTAAAAAAAATAGTTTTTGTTGGCAATCGATTGCAGTTTACATACACATCAAAATTCCATTCTTCAAAGATTTTTTCGTTTTACAAAAGTGTGTTATTCCCATATGGCGGTCAAAGTATCACTTTCGGTCTGAATTTTCTTTTTAAATCGGCTGTAGAATTTTATTTGCTAAAGATCAGCTAAATTTTGTTGACCTACATAAATTATACCGAAAGTTATTCAACCAGAAGTAGATTTGAAATTCAGTTGTTTTCCTGTTAAAAGGCAGAAATGAAGTGCAAAATTTGACCGTACCATATTATTTACATTAGTGAAGTCTCTGTGCACATCGTCGCCTATATAGAAAGTCTATGATAGTTGAAATGTTGCTGTAACTACTGCAGTCTAAGCACAGAAAGGTGTGTAAAAATGTATAAATCGTAAAAAAAGAATTGATATTTCGATAACAAACTGGGACTTTGCTTCCGCAAAATAACCATATAGACAATGCCGAGTTGAACCAATTCACACAGTCAATCAGAAGACAGATCATTACAGTTTTTATTAAAATGTAAAGCAGATGTGAACGAGCCTAGTGAACTTGCCATTTACAAGACACCTTCACTCAATATTACTTGAAGGTGCTGGAACCCATGGAAATCTGTATTTCAGTATTCTCAGTTCAATACTTTGTTTAAGTTTACTATAAGAAGCTTGATGGGCAGTTATATTTCAGAGAGCAGCTGCAATTGAACATGGGTAGTTTCAGATTAACCAGGGGAGCATCGCTATATATAATTTTCACACCAAGGTATCTTACAGCTTGCCAAAAAACACCACCACTCGGTAGCATACTCATGGTCACAATATTGGTAGTTACTGTATGTGTGCATGTTAATAACTGAATGCAACATGTCTAACTCAAATTGGCTGTATCAGCTGGTGACACATATAACGTGGTTTTGTTTACAAGAATGAAGAGGATCTTCGAAATAAATATCCTACCCTAATTTGTTCCAGCCTTCAGGGGCTGAAGTTGAACATCTCCATGACGAATCAGTAACCACCCCATTAGTAAAAGAGCCTCGAATTCCTGCGATCCCATCCTTATTCCGACAATCGAATGCCAGGATCAAAGATGTATCCGGAAAAGAAACTGGATAAGAGACTGAACATGTGTCTGTACTAGTTTCAAGCTGACCATCAACAAAGAACTCTGCGAAATTATCACATGTTACTCGTCCAGAGACAACATCGCCATTTACTGAAAATATAATCAAAATCAATATTGGGCTCATTTTAGAGAGCGGTCTGGAAAAAAATACCATCTATCTGGGACCTGGGAAATTAGGGAGAGGGGTTTTGCTTTTAGGCTGCTAATAATAACATCAATTAGATGTTACACACGAATGAGCTTTGACAATGGCAAAGCCCATTACGCCCAGACAAAAGATGGGCGTATATTGTAATCACCCTGTCGGTCCGTACGTACGTCCGTCGGTCCGTCAGTTCACATTTGGTTCGTGCTCACTCTACAGGCTACAATTCTTTACAGATTCTTTTGATTTTGATTTTGTGTGTCAATGTCATTATGAAGATGATATCTATCGAATTTCGTGATGATCGTGTCTGACTTGACGTTTCACTCTATTAGCAATATTGTGCAACAATTGTTTACAGATTCTTTTGATTTTGATTTTGTGTGTCATTGTCATTATGAAGATGACCCCTATCGATTTTCGTGATGATTGGATAATCGTTCAATAGTGTTATATTTATATCTATTAGCTATATTGTGCAACTCATCCACCTTTCTTCCCTTTTATCGTTACACAAAGCAGATCCATGAATTTCCCAAACATAATATAAGAATATAAAGCTATAAGTTCATTGGAAATATGGTAGGTCTTCTGACATACACAAAAAACTTTTGATTCTCGCCCTCGAAAATGCGATTCCCATCATTCTGCTTGAGTTTTCGACAATTTTTTCTTCTCAAATCAACGAAAGCCCCTAGCCAAAAACATATGATCGCATATTGGTCGCATATCATCACTTAAGGTAGTTAAAAAAAAAATGAATACTTGTTATTTCCCTTCAAGCATTTTATTGCATAATATTGTCTTGTGTTTTGTTATATGTGCTCCTTGCTTCTATATGTCATTCAAATCTTATTCCCTTTAATTATTTACGAATCATTTACAACCAAGTACCACATTATTTGTAGGAAAATATAAAAAATTGAATTACAAAAGGGGAGCTAACTTACATGGACCAACTAATGCTGTAACTGTAGGACTTTGAATGCAAATTGGACATTACACCGTGCGCAAAAAATATCGTTTATTCTAAAACCTACATTTTTATTATATATTTTATTATAATGTTAATATTTGTCAAATTATTCTTAAATTTTATTTCCAAATTATGCCACAAATAAATTGCATCACTTCCGCATAAAGTAAAAAATTGCTTTTAACTTCCAGTTCAATTTTTGCAAATTTATTTCGTTATTTAAGTTGCCTACTGTGGCAACATTTTATTCACATTCCATTTAGCAAATTTGCACGTTTGCAAAGTCCCACTCTGTGCCACGTGTGGCTCTAGTTTATCTATTTGTCATTATGTAGAGTCTGGTTTAATTAGAGTATTGTAACTTTGTAGATTTAAGAATAGATTAATTAATATACAGAACACTTGTCGTCCAAGTGGGTTGGGAACCCCTTTCTATGGTAAGCTTATAATTAACTGAAGTAACATGGTTTACCTGTATCCATTTAGTTCATATATATATATATATATATATATATATATATATATATATAGTTTTAACTACTGTACATTTGTTCTAATATGAATTTCTGTCATAATTTCTATTACACAACAGTCCTGTATCTATTTGTGTAGACGCAATATTTAATTGGATCATCGTATGTCTAAATTCCATGCCCCCGCCCAAACCCCACATGTGGATAATCATCGTATCGTTGTTAAAGGAACATGCCAAGGTAAGTAAAGTAAATAAACCGAAGCCCCGTGTGCTACAGGCATTGCATCGATCATTGGAAATCAAAAACTGGTAGGCCCATCCCACTCATTGCATACTACATGGTATTGATCGTCCTAATTAGCACAATAAGGTACAGATGAGTAGAACGTAGAAGAACGGTTCTAATGATAGTGATGTGTTCTTCCTTTAAATACTACTATGATACACTTGGGCTCCCCTAGAAATACGATGTTGATTGAATCAATCTATTTTCGTTAAATTATTTTATTCAGAACTTAACGTTAAAATTAGCAGAGAGTTCAATCTTACTAATTACAGTTTGGTAAATGATACAGATGTTCGCACCTTTGTTGACTCTCATTTAAACCAGTTCCAGGTGCACAAGGCATCGATACGTAGGTTCCATGTACACATTGCCTAAATCGCTTGCAGTCATTTGGATCAATGACAAGAGTTGTGTCCCCCGGAACACAGGTTGCTATAAAACAGTAAATGAAAAAACAGTGATGATCTCCATTCTTTTAAGAATATAACTATAATAACATATGATTGATTGTGTATATTAGATACTAACAAACTGTCAAATGATACAACAGAACGCAGTCAGAGACACGAGAATATATAATATACACAAAGAGTTTTTACAAGTAAAATAGTTAAAAACATATTAAAAAGTGGAAGAGGGGAAGGGACAAAGCCACTGCCAAAGATATGTTTGACACACAATACACAGTATAGAAGGCACCTGGACAGATTCAGATCAAATTAATATTTGTCGCTTAATGTCCCCGTCAGACCGGACTGAGATCATTTACGATCCTACGACGACTAAAAATGCGAAAAAAGCCCCTAAATAATATAATATTTAACATATCCCCATATCACGGACTATGCAATAATGATGCGTTCCAACAACGCTGTGCAAACATACCTGGGTGTAATCTTCGTCTGCAGTAAACTTGTGTATCAGAAGTATCACCAGCAGTCCAAATCCATTTAGCTTCTCTGGGTATATCTGTTGGGTTGTTTCCCCAGGCGCTGTGTGTCTGTATAGTGGCGTCCTGCCAGTTACTATCATCAAATCTAATAGATTAACATTAATTAAAGGTTAAAAACAATGCTGAGATACGGTTATGAGAAAAAGATAATAAACGAGAACAACTCGTGGTACTGAGTGGGACTTTGCTCTTGTGCCAATTTGCTAGAGAATCTACAAAAATCAACGTTCTTAGCCAATTAGGTCACGTGCTAAAGGAGTCAAAAGTTTTGAAAAATTCTTTTTCTGGAAGTTTGTGAAAGTAGAAGTCAGACATCAAATATTAATGTATCAGTAGATTGCGAAATTAATGACCTTTGACCTTGTTAAGGGGAAGGTCATTTAAGGTCAAGGTCACTAGATATCAGTCATCAAACTTTTAAACTTTTAAACTTTACGAACGGAAACCGGAAGATGACGATGAACATCAAATATGAAGCTATTATTCTTTAGCCAACGTCAATGATTTTCGATCTACAAAGGTCAAGGTCATCAAAGGTAAGGTCAAAAATTGAGAATATGTAAACTGTAAACCCTGTTCCATTTTTTTTTAACTACGAAGCTGAAACAACTGACCCTTTTACACAAAATGGCCAAAGGGGTGAGGTAATTTTTTTTGAACAAATGTATTTTATACAAGTTATACCCCTGATTAAAATGTAAATAATAAGTAATTTAACCCTAATATGCCACGCCCACCTCATTTTTGGCACAAGTTAATTTTAATTTTGCTTTAAAACAAAATGTAACATATCACTGGAAAAAGCATGGCAACCAAATTAAGAATCCGAAAAAGTAAACCTCTAGGTTAATTAGGTCACGTGGTACAACAGTCTAAAGTTGCGAATTTGGCTGTTTTCGGACAGCTATAAAACCGGAAGTACAAGTCGGAGGTCCAATGTCAAAGTATCAACTGATAGCCAATATCAATAACCTTTGACCTTATAAAGGTCAATGTCACTTTCGGTCTGAATTTTCTTTTTAAATCGGCTGTAGAATTTTATTTGCTAAAGATCAGCTAAATTTTGTTGACCTACATAAATTATACCGAAAGTTATTCAACCAGAAGTAGATTTGAAATTCAGTCGTTTTCCTGTTAAAAGGCAGAAATGAAGTGCAAAATTTGACCGTACCATATTATTTACATTAGTGAAGTCTCTGTGCACATCGTCGCCTATATAGAAAGTCTATGATAG